TATATATATATGAAAGAAAAAGTAAAGTTGTGTTTGGATGGAAAATTTTAGAAATGTAATGAATTTGAAATTTTTGAAATTTTAATTTTTATTATTTATTAAATATTTTATTTGAATAAATTAATTTAAATATTTTAAATTTTAAATTATTAATTTGAATAGGACAATTTAATTTTCATCATAAATCCTAAACAATTTAATTTCCACCATAAGAATAATTGATTTTAAAATATATAGGATTAAATATGTTTTACCTCTTATATTGATGTGAAGTTTTATTTTTAATCGTTAAAATTTTTTTTTTATTAGTTTTAGTTCTTGAACTTTTGTGAATTTTCACTTTAGTCACTAAACTTTTCCTCCCATTAACATTGGTCTTTAATGTCAAAATTTTTTGTTCATAGAAGAAAAATTCAGCAACTAAAACCAACTAAATTCTCTTCAAAAGCTAAAAATGGAAACTGAAAAATTTAAGGACTAAAAATATATTTATTTTTTAATTTATATATATATATATAATGATAAAATATAATTTAAAAAAAAATAACAGAAATTTTTTATAAAACTTGTAATAATTCAAATGTTTAGTAGGACGTCTACTTAATAATTAAGTTTACCCGCAACATTAAAAAAATTTCATAATATAACCACAAATTTTTTCATTAAGAATAATAAAATAAGTATACTAAAATTATAAATAAATCTTATTAAGAATATGAATCACAAATAAAATAATATAAGTCAATATCAATAAGAAAAAATAAAAAATATATATAAGCAAATTCAATAGGTGAACTTGATAGGTCATCGCAACTCAAACTTTTATTTAACTCATATTAACATTTAACAGGTTGTATTGGTTGATTAATTATGTGCGTTGGAGGGTCAAAAAGTGCAACCCAATCCAACCCATATAATTAGACAAGTTATACGGGTTAGTTCATTGAATTGAACATATTTTGACACTCTTAAGTACATGGTAAAATTCACTAAGTTGAAAATTGATAGTTAAATAAGTACTCACTTATTAATGCGGGTGTGGGTGGGTAGTAATGTGCTCTTAAGTATCCATACTTTGAAATTACTTAAATACTTTTAATTATATATAGTAAGTAAATATTATATAATTTATTTACTTTTAGTACAATATATATATATATATATATCAAAATTATTTATTTTTAGTATAATATATGTTACAAAATTATTTTTTAATATAACTATATCTTTTAAAATTATTGTTTAATTAGTTATATTTTATTTTTATTTAAAAAAAATATTTTAACAATTATTAATTCACAAATATTTAATACACACACACATACACACACACACACACACACACATATATATATATATATGTATGTATGTATCTATGTATGTATGAGGAGAGACCCACTTATTTTAAGACCAAGAGTAGGCTTGTTTTACTCAATAACTTGTATTCTACATTAAATTTTAATGGTTTAACCATTAAATTAAAAGTGTTTAACGAATAGATCAAGTCTATAAATTTTTTAAAAAAATTGAATATCATATGATACTTCATTATATATATTCAAATAAACGTATAAAATATTTATATGATTATCTAT